CATCTGAGGTTGCAAAATTCCTGCCTACATATGTCCTTCCCTTACAGGTGTCTTTTATGCCATCTTTGCTGAACCAACTATTCTTATGGACTGCATAGACACCACCGAATTGGATATGTAAGCATATGTACACACGTGTGTAGACATTTCTCTAGTACAAAATAATTTCAGAGTCCCTTGGCACCTGTACCTCAGGAATTCATTTTTTATACTGGTGCTGACATAGTTAAAAGAATATAAAGTTTATAGTCTAGTATGGCTAAGTGTCAACAGAACCCTCATATTTCAGTGGTGGGTAGCATGCAGCCTGAGGCATCTCCAGGAAGTGAACTCTATAAGTGAAAGAACAAAGGAGCACACCATTTCTGGGGGTTTTGAGTTCTGAAACCCTTATGGTATCTTTCCTTTCGAATTGCCGCCCCGTCGTGTGTGAGAAGAGTGGGTGGTTTTGCGCTCAACTCCATTCATTTCCTTGACATCCTTTGATGCTGGACCAGCTCCCCAGCCACCATTCTTCCTTGTCACACGGGTCCTGTCAGGGCAGTTCATTCAGTAGCCATCATCGCAGTGAACTATATCCCAGCAGCTCCAGATGGAGGAGTGGGGGGTAAACAGCTCCCTTAAGAGTGTTCTCCAATGTGATGCCATCAATCACGCTACAGCTGGGACTGAAGAACCATTCAGAGACTTTCCACCAAAAAACAGCCTGTTTCCTAGTGTGCGACTTTCTCCAAAAGACTGCAAATCCCCATGCATCAGCACTCAGAAACCCTCAGCACCTGATAGTTGCCCCCTAATCCATGTAACCACAGCCATTAATATTCATCTTTATGGTTAAACTCTAATGGGAATTCTATTTGGTATCACTAACTTTGCCTTGGGGAAGAAAAGTCTCTTGTTTCCTTGTTTCTTCCATAAATCATAATTTTAAAAATGCAAGTTATTTTACAGTCTTAATTGGCACACTCAATTATCTTTGAGGTTCAGGTCCATAACTCAGTTAAAGGTGACAGCAACCGCAGGCAACCAGTGACATGCAGCAGCGGCAAGTGATCCCTTTTCCTTCTGCAAACAGCAAGGGACATAGCTTCTTCCCAAAGCCCGGATTAAAAGCACAAGTGACCATTTGAAACATTGAATATAAGCCTACGCCCTACACACTGTAGGCAAGAAATCCTCCTTGTAATGGCGGCAGGGACACATCCCTTTTCCTGCCATGTACACAGAAGGGCAGTGTTGTGACCCTTTCATGGGCTACAGGACCGCGGGGGAGTCATCCCTAAGAAGGATAACGAGCCCTGCTTATAATTATAACTTCTGCTATGAAATTTTTAACACAAGTTATGGCATTTTTATCTACTTAACAACATTATTTAGATGAAGCTAATAAAAGCCATTGCCTCAAGAATAGAGAATAAAATATTAAAGGACAATAACCTTCCACAATGAGTCTATGGCATCTCTGTTCTTTGTTAACTCTCTTCATGTTCTGTGGTTTTCCCTCCCTCCCTGCAGTCCTAAACTGCAGAAACTAAAAGATTATCTCCAGAGCTCCACCTGCCATCTGGTCCTAGTTCAGTACATTGAATTCCTATTGTTTGGTTAAATAAGAAAAATTAATCCATCTATAGGTAAAGAATGTCTATTTTTATCAACATAGTTTCTATTTTGGGACATGTGGACACACACATACACACATGCATACATACACACACACACACACACACACACACACACACTAACACACACCTCTTCATGGATGCCCACACCTGTTTTCCTCTAATTTCAGCCTCAAAGATGTAATGAAGTTCCAAGACATCTTATCCCCAGATGAAATGGAAATGCCTGTAACTCTATGATCATGTATGAACTAATGCACCTAAGAGGTCCTGAGGTCTGAGGTCTCCTATCTAAAACCGGGGAGTGGGACTCAGGAGACTCTTTAGCCTGTGAAGGCACTCCTCATACAAACCTGGTAACCTTATTTCCACCCCTGAGCTCTCATGAAAACCCTAATGTGGGAGCACACATCTGTAATTCCAGCTCTCCTTGGGAAATGGGGAACAGAAACAGAAGACACGTTCAGAATCTCAAGGGCCCGCTAGCTTATGGAGCAGAAAAAAAGAAAAACAATAGGAGAGCCGCTGCCTCAAAAACAGATGCTCTGCTGAGGAGTTAGTTCTTCAGCCGTCCTCTGTGCACACCCACCCACGCCGACACTTCATGTGCTGTGAAATAAATAAATAAGGAATGAAGCCTGAGAGTGAGGTTGAGATGACCAATGAGAAAGTAGTCAGAGGAGTCAGTTTATAACAACTGAGATGGAGACTTGGGAATTGTCCTGCCAGAATCTACTTTTTAGCTGAGGAAACCGATATCCTGATGTGCACATAAAACTGCTAAATGGAATCACCTTAAACTGGCTATAGAGTTTAGATGATTTGTAGCCACACAACCGTCAACAGCTGAAAGGGGAAACATTGTAAAATTATTTGGGAAAACATCACACCATCACGATCATAGTACAATTAATCTATTTTTTTTTCTGTGAACATCTGTGGATCATCTCACAAGTCATGTGATTTTGTGACTTATTAAGACATTAAGTCCTTTTTATCAATCAGAAGACAATGACCATAATATAATGCAGACTTCTGGTGCGGGAGAATTGTCTGTATTCTGTCAATCATGTTTAAAATAAACGTTGATTGGCCAGGCAGGAAGTATAGGTGGGTCAGTCAGACAGGAAGTGGAGGCAGGGCTATGAGAACAGGAGTATTCTGGGACGCAGGAAGCTTCCTCCTCAGTCCTTCTCAGATCATGGAAGAAGCAAGATGTAATCTGCCCAGCTGAGAAAAGTACCAAGCCATGTGGCTAACATAGATAAGAATAATGGGTTAATATAAGTTATAAGAGCTAATACAAAGCCAGAGCTAATGGGCCAATCAGTTTCATATCTTATGGAGACCTCTGTGTGATTTTCTTTGGGGTTTGCTGGTTGTGGGGTATCGGGTGGGACATAAACCCCAACAAGCAGGCCCCTTCATGTTACAGACTCCAAGCAGAAGATATACGTATTTTAAACGTATAAAGGAACCACACAATGTAAGGTCTCTTGGTCTGTAGAGATGGCTCAGAAGTTAACACTGCTGCTCTTCCAGAAGACTTGAATTTGACTCCCAGAACCTACATGGTAGCTCACGACCATCTGTACCTCCACTTCCAGGGGATCCAATTGTATCTTCTAGCCTCCCAGGGCACCACACACACACACACACACACACACACACACACACACGATGCACAGACACACCTAGAGTCAAGGCAATTAGATTGATCAATCAACCGTTTCTTCTCTAACTCGTGCCATATCTGAAACACTTACCAGGAAACGTCCAGCATTATTCCTCACAATGAGAAAGGCACATTTGTGTTGATGCTGGGCTTCTGTGTGTTAAATTTCGGGCCATGGGTTCTATCAGCAGAAGAGGGCTCATCCTGGAAATTGATCCCTACTGGAAAGCACGTGCTCATTCATCTTTACAAAAAGGTCTGGAAGCAAAAGGTACTCCAGAACAGGACACTGTCTTTTACTGCTTCACAGTGAGCGTTTGGCTGAAGCAGTGAGGGCTTTGGAGTTGCCTCTTGCCTCCCCCCTCCCACGTTCTGACAGACGGCACAAACTGTAGTTACTCACTGGACGTGTCTTGTTAGGAGGGCATCCTGACACGACAAGAAGCAGGAAGTGTGAGGCTTTGGCCCGGGAGCCCTTCTGTTGGTTCTCTGCACAAAGACCATGGATAGAGAACCTGAACAAAAAATGCAGGAGTCCAGAGTCACTTAACAGACTGAGCGACAGAGTTAAAAGATGTCTATTTATGAAACATGGCATCCGGAAGCTCGTTTCAACCTCACTCAGATCCTGTGAGGTGTCAGACAAGAATCAGAATCCCTGCCAGGCTGAAAAAAGAAGCTTCTCGACTGTATTTCTGAAATAGACAGGAGAAAGTGGGGCTCAGTTGTAGACCTCATGGCTGTCAGGCTGTCTCTCTTCCCACCACAATGCACACAAAACAAAAGGTAAGTAATAATAATAATAATTTTTATTAAAAAAAGACTTAATAGTCTGCAATGCAACAGATTGTATCTGACTACATCAAATTGGCATGAAAGTAGTGTGTGTTCTCTTCTCAGCCAGGGTATTTTAATTGAGAAAAGAAGCCAAGAAATTTTTATAAATGGAATCTTTAGCAGAAAGCAAATGCAAAGTGTATTCCTAAATATAAAAAGTCAATGGATACTTCCTTTGAAAACAAATGAAATATGAACTTGAACCCCACCCCCATGAGAGACTAGATTGGAATATGGAAATTATTTGGGTTTTTTACTTAAGGGGTTGAGAAAAGGATTGGAAGCAGGAAAAGCTCTGGAGACAGAGGCTGCCGCAGGCCTGTAGCTGCCTGCTTTCTCACCGCCAAAGCTCAAGGTAAATTATTGAAATGGTGCAGCCACTTCCTAAACGGCTGGGATAGCTGTCCATAAAACATTAACATGACATTTCTGCAGCTTGACAGGTCACCTGGAAGAGAAAGGGTGGAGAATACTCAAGCTCTTGGTGAAGATGGGGACATTTGTTCAGATAAAAACAAGCAAGCACCAGACAGGTCCGCAGGCCAGCTTCAAGGAAAATGGGAAAGAAAACATGAATGTTTAAAGCCGACACGGAAATGGATTGAAGTCAGTTGTCTGCTGTAGTATGAGCAGGCAGAAACAAAAGCATGGAAGGCCTTTTGTCTCCTCCTCTACTCTTAGAAAAAATGATATGCTGGACTACACTCTGCCTTTAATTAATGCTTCTGCTAAGTAACTGAGCTACGTGTCCTCTGGTATACAATGAACGAAAGCATTTATCCATCTTGCATGGTATTTGTCTGGTTGGTTGGTTTTTGCTTTGGCGTGCGCGCGAGCGCGCGAGCGTGCGTTTCTTCAGTTGGAAAAAACGAATATTCCTTTCCCCAGTAGGTATTTTTCTTTAATTTAAACCATTGTTTGGTTCCTGGTAAAAGACCACCAGCACACTCCAGCTAGAAAAGCAGGTAGGTTAAATACAGGCCTTCACCTCTCCCTCTGTTCTTTTAAAACCCATCCTCCCCCCACCCTGTTCTGTAATAGATCACCTGCCTCTTTTTTTCTGTCCCCTTCTTCAGTGGATCACACAGATCTTTCGCCCTTTGCTCATGCTTTATACCAGGTCCCAACTCTAACAGACCATCCCTGGGAAACCCCAGACCACTTCCACCAACAAAGCTGGTAGGCTCATTCATTACTGCTCAGTCAGAAATGGAAAACAACCTAGTTTCCCCTTGACAGAGGATAAACTATGGAAAATGTGATACATTTACACAACGGAATTTTATTCAGCCGTAAAAAAAAATTATAAAATTCTCATGTATTAGATGGAACTATTAAAAAATGTCCTGAATGAGGTATCCCAGACCCAGGAAGACACATATAGTATAGCCATATATAAAATAATGATAACCAAGTCACAATTTATAGAACCACAAGGAACTAGAGAAAGGGACTAGAGATGAAAGGTTGATCTCATTAGGAAAGAGAAATACTAGATAATTATGAGTAGATGAGGGGTACTTAAATGGGAGGATCAAGGAGAAAGATGAAAGGGAGGGGAATGAGGAAGAAAATAAAGGGAGAGATAGCTAAAATTAAGGGTCATTTGAGGGGCAGTATGGAAATTTAATACAATAGAAATTTCCTAAAATATATGCATATATAAAGGTGATCTGATCAAATCACCAAATGATAGAAGAAACAGTCCCAAGTGGATGTCCACGTTGTCAAATGAAGCTTTCACTACTAAGATTGGGTTACATATAATTGTGTGCTTGGCCACAGCGGGTCCTAGGAGAATCCCCCAAACAAATCAGGCTGTTGCCAAGACTGTAAATTCCTCTCCAAACTGTCGGCAAGGCCACATTCCTGACAAGACCTACACAACCTTTGAACATGGAGAAGTTAAGCTGGTGCCCACATAAAGCCCTTCACCCCTATGTTCTAGGTCCTCTGCATGCTATCAGAAAGAGAAATCAAAACAATAAGCCAGTCACGATTTCTTTGATATTCAATGGTGTTCTTCCTGCAAGATACCCTGTGGCAAAGACAGCACAAAACCTGTGGGAGTAAGCAACTATTATCTGGTTTGACTTAAGGCCCATTCCATGAGAGGGTGCCCATACCTGGCACTACTTAGGTGACCAAGAAACTGAAACTAGACAGCCCAGAGTCCTAGAGTAAAACCAAATACTACTGTTCTTAAAAGAAATTAATTAACAATGAAATGACTCCTGATGACATTCTACTTTACTCATAGATCAGTGCCTTGCTCAGCCATCATCAGAGAAGCTTCGTCCTGCCACAGATGGGTACAAACACAGAGACGCACAGCCAGATGCTACACAGAGAGTGGAAAAGACCTTGGTACACTCAACCCTAAATGGATGTCTCTATCAAATCCCTCCCCTCAGGGCTCAGGGAACCCTATAGGAGAGGAGGCAGAAAAAAAAAATGTAAGAGCCAGAGGGAATGGAGGACACCAAGGAAACAAGGCCCTCTAAATTAGTATGGTTAATGCTCATATGAACTCATAGAAACTGAGGCAGCATGTCCCGGGCCTGCATGGGTCTGCATAGGTCTGACCTATCCTTAATATTATGGCTTCAAGTTTAGTACTTTTATGGAATATCTGAGTGTTTGAACTAATGGGCTCTGATTCTTATATATTCTTTTGGACTCTTTTCCTTCTGTTCATTTGTTTGATTTGTTTTGTTCAGTTCTGACCCATTAGTTTTTGCTTTATCTTATTTTATGTTATTTTATTATTCCTCAGAAGCCTGTTTATTTCCTAATGAGAGACAGAAAGGAAATCAATTTGGATGGAAGGGGAGGTGGGGACAAACTGTTAGGTAGAAGGAAGGGAAGCTATAATCAGGATACATAATGTGAGAAGAAAATTTATTTTAAATAAATCAAAATAGAATAAAATAAAATGAATTGCAAATTTACCTGATATATAATACGTCTACCACAAAGTAATAACCCCTAAAAAGCATAATTAGGTTCTTTGAATGTAGGTACTAAGGTTCAAATTTTTCCCCGATGTTAATGAGAACATATCCATTCTTATAAACATGTCACAGTGTTTTGTGTGAGTGAATTCACTGGTCCCTGGGATCATTTCTATATTAATAGTCTTTACATGTAGTACAAACACAGCTTTACTGTACTTTGTGAAAGAAAATGTCCTCCTCTATGATATTGTCAACGAAAATTGGCACACCAGGGCATTCATAGAAACTACTTTCAAGATATATGGTGAGATAGTTGTTTAAATAAACGTTGGCTACAATGGCATGAACATGTGCCATAGGGCAATGGAATTCTTCCAAGTCTCCTGGCTACACATGCAAAAAAATAAGGCAACAGAGAAGAGCAAATACTGCAGAAGTACTAGCAAGGAGATTAGTGTACCGAATGCCTCATTCTAAGGGGATTCCTTTTCCTTTATTACATATGTTTTTTCTTTTTATACCACTGTATAATTAGAAACAAAAATTTGTCACACTAGATTGTATTTGTTGAGGCTTTTCTTCACCTGGAGTGTTTTTCTATGAGCACAGCTTTGGAAAGCACTGCACCAAAGTACTGAAAACTCAGGCTGCTGAAGCACCTCAGAAGGCATCGTTCTGATCTTTGCTTCTTATCTCCAAGCCCTCTGCTCCCTCTGAAACGAGAGAGAAGCCAAAATTTCTCTACTTGAAGATTGGTCATGGAAACCAGATCTCTCTCCATCTACTAATGCCTCAAAACATTAAGAGATCACTGGCCCACTGCTCCCTTTCTCCTCAAAACACCCCGAGTGACAGCGGTCCTGCCCCACCAAGGAGAAAGAAAGGCCACCCTGAGATGCTCAGAGGACTCCAGCAGACAAGCTCCCCGCCGTCATCATCAGTTAGACTCATTTTATCAGTAACCATTCTCTATCACACAAGCAGGAAAGGAGACAGCTTTTCCTCACCTCACAGGTTTTTTTCCCTGAAGAATTCCTTGTTACATAAAATTCTGGTTTAAAAACACAGGCTGTGCATTTCTCTTTCAAAGTCATCTTTTGTTTTGTGCCTTTATGAAGGAAAGTTACATTGCCAAGATGGACTCATTGGAGATGGGGTTGGTCCATAGAAATCAAATCTGCAGTGTCAAGGATACAACTCCTGTCTAGAGCACATAAGACCTTGGGCTCAGTTCCAGTCACCACAAGCAAATAAACCCAAAACATTATCCCTTCTCCCAGGGCCTATGTTCTCTGACCTTTTAACTCCTCTTGTCCTTACTATTTCTTTTATACTAACTGAAGGGACAAACCGGAATGAAATGGTGCTGCATCTAAATGAACAGCAGTAACTAAAGAAGCGTTCACGGAAAAACTGACACCCCTGTACCCCTTGACACCGAACCTTCCCGTAATACCTCTTCTTACCCCATTTTAATGTACTTGAAGCAGTAAATAAGAAAGCAACCACTGCTGACAGAGATAAAATTTTCCTCTCATATAAGCAAAGTGACAGAATGACTGAAGTCCTGGAATTAAAAATCAGAACCTAGCTGGCTGTCTCCTATTTCTTGACACCTGTAAGTCACATAACTTCCTTAGATTAAGATTTTAGCGATGGGGCTGGAGAGATGTCTCCGGAGTCTCAGAGAGCCTACTGCTCTCCTAGAAGACCTGCTTTGGGTTCCTACAACCCACAATGGGCAGCTCACGGCCACTTGCTAACTCCCGTTCCAAGGGATCTGATACCCTCTCCTGGCCTCAACGGGAACTGCATGCAGGTACCTCAAACAGGCAAGCAGGCACACACACACACCCACACAAAAACAAATACATTTTAAAAGATTTTAGCTACAAAATGGTACTAATTATTTTAATGAACAAATATCTTATGAGCTACGGGCCTTTTTTTTTCCAGCACATGTTATCGTTGTTTAACAAATCAGCAATAATGAAATGATCGGTTAAATAGTGGTTTCTGGATTGAGTTCAATTTTATGCCCTAGCGATTTTCGCAGGTCTTTAAGGTTAATGGGAAAAGCAAAGACAAAACTAAATGCGGCACATGCTTACCATGTTTGAAAGGCTAAAATAGCAGTTATTGAAAAGAAGCTGGTATCTCTTAACTTCTGTATGCAGAAGGGATATGGGTAAGAGGAAATCTTTGTTATTAGTGCATTGATCTCAGACTTTGCAAGCTCAAGAATCCAGGTAAGTAGGGAAGAAGCAATATACATGAGAGCAGAAGGATCAAAATCATTAAATTTCATTCTTGGTTACGCATTAATATCCCACCATATATGCAGGGTGTTGCAAATTTTCTTATGAGTTAACACATTACCTAAGACACCCACGCATCTCTGGTGCCTGACTCTAATGGCACAGGTTCATGTTGCTGATGATTAGCAAGATGGCTTTTGCCCAAGAATGAAGCATATGTAAGATTGTATCCGTTGCTTTTATAATTATTCACATCAAAGGAGCTGATGGAGAGTCCAGCTGTGCCCTGTGACAGACAGCACTCTGCAGGGAGGTGACAGTAGCTTGGATCCTCCTTCTTCAGGGCAAGCAACCCCTGTCGGTATCAGAAAGGACCTTGCTGTTCTTGTTTGTTTCTGCCTTTCAGGAGGGCTCCTTCTGCAGCCCCCTATGGTGGACTTTCCTTCCTGCCAGGAGCCATATGGAAAGGCAAGGTCTGCCCTGTTCCCAGCGGAAGTTGTTAGCTGTGTACTGCAGTTGAATCCTGGGGGTTCTAGGGACTTGACTTCTTCACAGGCCTTCCTGCCCAGCTAGGAAGCCAATTGTTTGCTTGTCAAGTCACTATCCACTTTCACCTGATCTCTAAATCACAGGACAAATCTCTAAAGCAGGCAGGATTCTCCCACGGGAATTACAGGCTGCTATCCTGAGGCGTACTTAACTGAGACTCTATGGCCAGGTTTAGGAGGAAAACAATCCCACCTGATTCTCTTAGCATCACTCTTGAAAATAACTTAAAATCTGAAATGTTTAGAAAGCATTGTAATCTCAAAAATATAAAAATATTTTAATAATGAAATTTAAGTATATAGAAAGAAAAATAAATAATAAAAAAGCACCAGTAAGTTGTTCAATGTGATCATCTAAAACTTAGAGTATAGAAAGATTTTGTGGCCAATTATTGAATTGTTGCATCTCGGAGAAGTCACATGACCTTGCTGTTCATCTGCTGTACATCTGGAAAGGGGTGGAAGCATGTGGGGGTGCATGCACACATGTGTCTGTGTGTGGTAAGGGAGGGTGTAAATTAAAAAAAGTCACTAGGCAATCAGAACCACTACGTATGTGTATAAGACATCAGAAAGCCATTAACTACTAGCAGCCTTCTCCCATATTCATTCGTAATAAGAATCTGTTTGATGTAGCTGCCAGGTGGCAAAACTCTGCATTAGTTCCTAAGGAGAAAAAGCAATTTTCTTCTACTAAAAATGGTTTTTCTTTGGAATTATGTGAGTCTTGAAGCAGATTTTACTTTTTTCCCATATATTTATTTATAAAAATTTCCACTTCCACCCCTCCTCCCAATACCCTCCCGCTCCCCCCACTCCCTCTCCTCCTCCCTCTCCATCCCTAAGAGCAGTCAGGGTTTCCTGCCCTGTGGGAAGTTCAAGTTTCTCCCCCCTCCCTCCAGGTCTAGGAAGGTGAGCATCCAAACAGACTAGGAACCCAAAAAGCCAGTACATGCAGAAGAAACAAGTCCCAGTGCCATTATCAATGGCTTCTCAGTCAGCCCCCATTGTCAGTCACATTCAGAGAATCCGGTCTGATCACATGCTCGTTCAGTTCCAGTCCAGCTGGCCTTGGTGAGCTCTCATTAGATCAGTCCCCTTGTATCAGTGGGTGAACGCACCCCTCGCGGTCCTGACTTCCTTGTTCATGTTCTCCCTTCTTCTGCTCCTCATTTGGACCTTGGGGGCTCAGTCCAGTGCTCCAATGTGGGTCTCTGTTTCAATCTCCATCCATCGTCGGATGAAGGTTCCCTCTGATCCTGACTTCCTTGCTCACGTTCTCCCTCCTTCTGCTTCTCATTTGGACCTAGGGGGCTCAGTCCAGTGCTCCAATGTGGATCTCTGTCTCTATCTCCATCCATTGCCAGATGTAGGTTCTATAATGATATGCAAAATATTCATCAGTATGGTTATGGGACAAGGCCTTTTTTCATGTCTACTAAGCCTGGGACTCCAAAGTATCCTAACACACTGGTCTAACCATGTGCACTATTGAGTTTCTTCTCTTCATTGTCACTGGAGGAAACAGAATCCTTCTCCTCCTCTGTGATGAGATGATTTTGTATGGCAACCCTTAGAGAAACATCAAATTTGAAGAAGACATGATTCAGAGGTTACAAACACTGGCTGTTCTTTCAGAGGTTCTGAGTTCAACTCCCCAGCAACCACCTGGTGACTCACAACTATCTATAATGAGATCTGGTGTCCTATTCTGTCATGCAGGCATAGATGCAGACAGAGCACTATATACCTAATAAATAAATAACTTTTGAAGAAGAAGAAGAAGAAGAAGAAGAAGAAGAAGAAGAAGAAGAAGA